TGAGGACCTCGCTGCCACCGTCCAAGCTCGCTTAGCCCCGGCAGATGAACCTCAGGATTAAAGGGTGGGCTCAGTTCCGCGCACACTGTGTCTCACCTAAAAAATCCAATGCGCAGGCTGGAAGGTGTAAAGACCTTCCCCGGTTCTTCGTTCGCGAAGACTGGCCGTTACATTACATTACAGTTTGTCCAGCTATACCCAGTTATTGTGTGTACGATTATACCAACAGAATGAATCTGCACATGAGATCCAGTGTTTTCTTGAATGCTGGGGTTGTGCATTCTTTTGAAGTATGTTCACACTTTTCTGTAACCTAGCATTAGTATTCCTTTAGGGAAGGAATATAAAAACCTGTTCTGGATGAGGGTATGGGCTCTGTGTCCAAGGAAATGAGGGCAGTAGAAGGTAATATGCATTGCTGCTGTTAGGAAACAAGTGGCCTTTCTGTCTTTTTCTTACAGCTCTGTTTAACGTTGCCTTCTGCCGCTGCAGTATGTACTGAAGGGCGCGGGGTTTCCTTGGTTGCAGAAACATGTCTGTGTTCCTGGGTGAAAGGTTTTGCCCTGTATTTTGTCCAGACTTGTCCCAGATCACTGGGGCACTGTGACTGTGTCTTTTTACTTAGTGCGTTGTCACCGTCTTGGTGTGTTTGTGTTGGTTTTTTTTTTTTGGTGTGTTTTTTTTTTTTTTTTTTTTTTATGCCAGCACTGAAGTGTTGAGTGTCCGTGTTAAATGTCACAGCTGTGTTTGCAGGAACAGGGTGCTGCCATAGATGTGACCAGGGGGAGAAATGAGTCGAAATGTGGGTGCCTGTTAAGAGGCCGTTCATTGATAAGGGTGATTAGCACTTGTTAGTTTCTATTTAGGGCCGGTAGTACCGGGGTAGGGAAACTGAGTAAAGCCCTTAAGGGAGATTAGGTTACATGGATTAGGATGAGAATGAAATGAAATACACTTGAGGTTAAGTCGAGTGTAGTCTAAAACTGGTTAGTAGTATTTGTGGAAGATAACTTGTTAGTGCGCACAGAATAAAGGAAACTTAGTCCAAATGTGTATCTAAAATCTAGCTTTCAGAAAAAAAGGACTGTAGGTGTTCAGAGTGACTATTTAAAAGTGATATAAAAGTAATTATGGTAGCCTTTTTTGTGTAATGACCATATATAACAGCTGGATTTATAGCTATACAGTATCTGTGTAGATTATGTGGGTCAAGTGCAGAGACTGAAAATACTTCTTTATTTTACTGTAAGATGATGGTTTTGTGATTTTGTGGTGTTTGAAGCATTGTCTCTTAGAAGCATGTGTATGTGGGCTGTTGTACCTGTTGCCACTCACTGCTTTTCTGTTGCACAGCAGTTGGAAACAGTTAGGATTGAGTGGTTTTGAACAGAACTTGTGCAGCCCTGTTGATGTTAATGAAAGGCAAGCTATTAGATGGGTAAAACAGCTCAACTGGAAGTACTAATTACATATTAACTCCCCCCCGCACACACACCTGAGCAGACAGGAATACTCGAACATTGCTGGAGTGTTTTTGCACATGTTATATTGAAAGTTTTGCAAATATCTTTATGAGTGAGAAAGGGTGGTAGTGCAGATTTCTGCAGTGTGAAATCATTGCAGGATTGAATGCTTTTGATGTCTGTAGACTAAATTTGCGAGAATTAAGGATTTAGCATCTTCCCAAGAATTGTAAAGGTATGTGAGTGACATTCATAGACACGGATAAGGAACTGATTTCTGAGATAATTTGAAAACTATATTCAAACTTTCCCCTGGGGGGCTTGTGTACTTCTGAAAATTGGAGTTTCATCTGGAAATGAAGTTTATCCATGCCTGAAGATACTCTGTGAACCTCTTAGGAAAAGTTAATGATCTAAGTGAGTATAGAATGGTGTAGATATTAGCATGGCTGAACTGTATTGAGAAAACACATTACCTTTAAGCAAAGGAATAGGAGTTACTGCCTGGAGGACAGTGGGAACATAAATAAACCCTGCATGGTTTTGCTACCTCCTTTTAATTGAAAAGAAAATGTGAAATCAAGTGATTTAAATTTATTACTCAGATTTGACAAATAGGTCAGTGGTTGTTGCTAAATCATTGTTAGAAACAATGACTCTACAATCCTTGGCTTTAAGTATATCTTTTTTTCTTTTTTTTGGTGGTTGTTGTTGTTTTGTTTTGTTTTTTTTAATGCAAACTGCATATGGATCCAATTTATGTCGGTCAGTGGATCTGACTTGTGTGACCAGTGCATTGGTAATGCACTGGTGAGCTGAGAACACTGAATGGCACTTCTTTGAGATGTGCTGCTTGTTCTGGTAATAGCTTGGAGTCCTGGCAACATGTGATGGCCAGTTGTTGTTAGGTAATACAACAGTATTGTCCAGGAATGATTTTTCATGGTCAGTCTTCTGGCCAAAAGGTTGCTTTCTGTCTCTAGTGTTTTTTGTTGATGTGAGATTTACAGGAAACTTGCTCAATCATGAGTTTCTGCTTTTAATCAAAGAAACTCCAACTCATTCACTTGTTTTTCTACAGTTACAAGTACATACTGTGTGGCAGAGAGGTTTGATACTCTGTGTGGAGGGCTAATGCCATCTGTTACCAGTGGGCTGGATATTGTACACACAGGAATGATGGAAGATTATTGTTGTGTACAACGTGAGAGAGAGATGCTTTAAATGATCTGTTTTTATCCTCAAACAGTGAAATGTTCAAAACAGTACGTGCCCTTTCCAGCTCAAGTCAGGCAATGACTAAATTTATTAAGAGTAAGGGAAGAGGAAACAGGAAGAAGAGTTAATCTACAGACTTGCAATTCTTAACTCTGAGGGCAGTGGGATTGTAAGGAACAATATATTGTAAAAAGACTGTAATAGAATGTGCTCAAGATAGCACAATTTTAAAGATAACTGTGAGCCAATGGCATTTAAGAAAGCTGATTCTTGTGTGTACCCAACTGTTTTTCAATTTGCTGCTTCTCTGAATAAGAAAATAAAGCAAAGCTTTCTGATGTATCTTTTCTTTTCCATTAGGATCGGAAGCTGTCCAAGTCAGAGCGACAACGATTTAAAGAGGAAGCTGGGATGCTGAAAGGGCTTCAGCATCCCAACATTGTCAGGTTCTATGATTCCTGGGAGTCAACAGTCAAAGGAAAAAAGTGTATTGTTCTTGTGACAGAACTTATGACGTCTGGAACATTGAAAACGTAAGTAAATTAAGACACGTCAAAGTATTTAAGCTTCATTAGCACAGGATCAGAGCCCTAGAAATAGATGATATTTCAGAATACGTAAGAACAGAGCCCTTTTGCTGAGGGCTAACGTCCTGGAGGAACATTCTTGTTGAAGAGGCTTGTCACGTTCTTCCTTTTGATGTCGTAGTAAGCACATACAGAATGTTGGATTTTAAGAGCTCAGGAAGACACTTCTCAAAGTTTTTCTATTTTCTCTCCAGCTACCTTCCATTTAGCATGGGGGGGTTTGTAAAGTTCAAAGTACTAATTAATACATCTCTTTTTGGGAGGGTTTGGGTGTTACAGGAGTACAAATAATTTGTAAAAAGGAAAAAAAATCACCCCCTATTTACCTATTCTTTCAACTGAAACTTGATGAAGCAGTACCTGACAAAAATCAAAGTGTGCAGGTGCCTGCAGCTCCAACCTGTGAGGCAGCTGAGTGACCCTGGGTGTGTTTTTAAGGCAGAGTTAAAAGCAGAGCGCAGGAAATGGAGCTGCTGCGAGGGCCTCTAGTGGTGCTCGGGCCCGCGGGGGCTCACAGTGAACTCACACCACCGGCACCCATCACCCTTCCTTGCTGGAAATAGAACTACCAGATTTTGGGATAAACGGGTTGTGGGACGCTGTCTTCATTCAGTACCCATTTAAGTCTTGCAGAGGCATCCAAATCCTAAATGTGTAATGAGACTGTGGGAGCTGGAAACAATTTGACGTCTATTTGGTTAAAATAGCCCGTGAATGTCTTGTGTTTTTATGATGCTTATTGATAGCCACAAATGGACATTCTTAAAGAGGAAAAAAAAAAAAAAGACTCTTTGGGAGTCTGAACTGCAATTATAGGGAAGTGTTTGTCTCTTAAAATAGTACTGGAGGACTAAGGATACCGCAGCATTCTTTAGCCTTATATTCAGTGAAGATATTTTGAAGGTTGTTTAGGGTATTTCAGATAAAATAATAGATCTGTTGCTTCACGTGCTGTTTTCAGAGCAGTAAACAACTAAGCAGCTCTGTAAAGATGCCTTTAAATAAAGAGACTTAATTTTATGCTAAACATGTAGTGCTAGGTTTAATTTTTTTCCTGCCTTTCTTGCTCCTTTATCCCTCTCACAGATTTTAATATTTGGATGGACTTGTTACGTGGTGGCTTAAAGAAGATGATAAAGTAATGACAGACAATTATAAAGTAGGGTGTTGGCAGGAAGAAACACCTCAGATTCACTGTCTATAGGATTATTTTTGTGCCTTGAAGTATGAAAGTATTTTTATTTTATCCAGAAAGAAGTAACAGGTTGTTTAATCAAAGATTTTTAAGCTGTAGAGTTCTGGGTGGGTTTTTTTCCCCACTCTTGCATAGCTTGTGTTACAGTTGTGATTTAGTTTATTCTTGCCTGCTAGACTTGAGACTTGACAAGTAAACTATGTATATGGGAAATTTCTGATGTGCCAGATTTAATATTGTTGAGTATTTCACGTGTTTGTGGCACATTCCTAAATTTACACTGCACACTTGTGTTAGCTTATGATATTTGGCTGAGTATTACTTCCATATCTTTACATTACCTGCTTTTTATAAAAGTGTTACTTTCCTCATTTTGAGACTTGGGACATAGACATTGTTGTCACTTGATGTAAAAAAGCAAACAGAAGAAAAGTGCGGTGATATCTTGAAGTAAATTCGCTGATGGTTTTTTGTATTTGTATACATGGATACAGAAATACCCAGAAATAATGTTAACATTTTGTGGACTCCTTTTCAGATGCTGTCTGGGCAATTTTCTAACTGTGCATGAGGGAAAGTGCCCGAACTTCTGTATATGAATGGAAGAGTTTTACAACTGAATTTTTGTAAAGAATAAGACTGCTTTCTGATATTGTGTGCTATCCTGGAATTAAAATATTGGGAAAAATGGAGTTGCCTATTTGAAATTATAATTACACTATTAATGAAGACAACAGTGTTTAATCTGATTTAGATCTCAGCCATTAGTTTTGTCCAAGGTCTGGATGAAAGTGTGTCTAGTGTGTGTTCCTGATCCACTTGAAATTAATGTATCATCTCTCTGGTAGGGCACATACCTTCACAACTACCTCTGCTAATTCAGTAGGGATTCCTATAGCTCCTTGAGCTGAGGTGCTGTAGGTTACTGTAATTGCAGAAACTTAGACTAGAAACCTCCTGAGGTCTCTTCAAGCCTGAGTTATCCAATAATACTAGGAAAATTGTAAACATACTGGCTAGTAGGATTGTCTGTGTATTTTTATGTATTTATATGTGTTTCTATTTTAAATTGGTTTCTGCCTTAAGTGACATGTGACTTAGTTCAAGACAATGTTGTGGAAAACTGATGGCAGCCCTGTGGGATGCTGGGTGGTGGTTGGACCCAGGTCCTTTAACAGTGAGGAGCTGGCAGTAGGCAAGCATATTTGAAACCAAGAATGTAATTAGGGATTCCAGATGCTGAACTGAAGTGCCCCTACCATGTGATCTTTGGATCAGGCTCAAGAGAGATGAATGAGGGTTGTGTCAATAGCAAGAATTCAAGTGGTAGCTTATGTGATTCAGAACCTCCTCCAGTTTGTCTCCTTCCTTGCTTGGCTTTTTCCCTGCCTGTCTTTATATTCTAAGCCTTGATTTCCTCTGGAACTGTCCCCCACTTGCTTTTACAGATCTATTTTCACAGCAGGATTATTGCTAGCAACTTGATTTTCCAGGTCTTCTTTTGAACTGGAGAAATGAAAGTAAAAGGGATTAATCCACTGCATTTTTATGTTGGCATTGATTCAAGTGATTTCATCTGGCTTTTATCTCCTGATTAAGTGGACATGAAGAGTAGACTGAACACTACCACAGAATGATTGAACACAACTTGCTGTTGGTTGAAGATTGTAGTTGCTAGACTCCATGATGGTCACAGAATTTACTACCAGTCTTGCAATGCTATGAAACCGTTCTTTATCTGACACTTTGACTGAGTAACATTGGCTGAATAAGAATAAAGTCCTTGCTCTACAGACCATGCTATGTCCTTTCTCCTAAATGTATTTCAACCTGTACTTTCTTCAAAAGGAAGCAAACAGCTCTTCACTTCAAATTGTGTTACCTGAAGAGAGGTTGTGAGAAAACTGCTGGAAAGCACTTGAATGCTGTCATAAGGTTATTCACCTTGTGGCACCTCTAATCTGTTGAAGTTAAGTAATAGAATGAGATCATAGTCTTAGGTTACAAGCATTTTGGGATTTCAAAGTGTGGTAAGATAGAACTGTTAAGGTTGGGTCACGTTCTAACTGTGAGGGAGTACTGACTTTATATCAGAACTCTTCCACCTCAATTATTTGGTAGAACCTTTTTAAAGATTTCTCTGCCCTGTCCGTATTTGTCTGTAGTTTTGAAGCAATGAGCAGTTCCAGTCAGATTCAGGTGATCAAACCCTGTCCTGCACCAGGGAAGCAATCTCCAAGAATTTCTCACTTGCTTGACAACTCCACAAGTAAATTTGAAGCAGATTTAAAGTGTATTATGGAAACCTTGACCAGAGTACTTGGACTGCTGCTGAGAAGGAATAATGACTTCAGAGCTCTTGCAGTTTGCCCCAGCTCTGTGCTTAGTTGTTGTTATTAGTGTTTTGCATCTATTGACCCACATCCACACCCAGTTATAATAAATCAAGGTAAATTTGGTAATTGTTTAGATGGTTAAATGGATAAAGTATTGCTGTAATTCATGAGCTTTGAATTCTCTGTCATGGAAGCAATGCCTTGAAAATGAGCAAACCAGCTGTCTGATTTCCATAGGATGATTTTGTATGCAGGTGAGTTATTAGCTATGTGTTAAGCTTTTTACAGCTGTCTAGAAGAAGAGGGGGTGGGTTTTAAAAGGAGGAATCATCTTTAGCTCCTCTGAAGTCTTGAAACACCCAGGTAGATTTTAAAATAGAAGGTGAAATTTAAATTTGTGCATGTCTTTAATTACTGTTTCTTTGCTTCCAAACACCAAAAATGTCATAGTTTAATCTACTACCTGTTAGCAGAATCTACTAAGTTGGTAACCTATTGCTACTTTTTTCATTAGGTATTTGAAAAGATTTAAAGTGATGAAAATTAAAGTACTACGAAGCTGGTGCCGTCAGATACTGAAAGGCTTACAATTTCTACACACACGTACTCCTCCCATTATTCATAGAGACTTAAAATGTGACAACATCTTCATTACTGGCCCCACTGGATCAGTCAAGATTGGAGACCTCGGTCTGGCAACCCTGAAACGAGCTTCTTTTGCCAAAAGTGTGATAGGTAAGCCTCTCCTGTACTGGAGGCTGCTGAGCCTTTTAAGAACTTCCCTTAAAAATATGGTTGCAAAGGTACAGGGTCAAAGCCAAAAAATGTGTAGGCTTTGTTTCTTGGTTACTGAGATCATTCTGTGTCCCTGATGCGATTACATGTTGAAATTTTGGTTGTGCTTTTGATATTTGTATATTAATATGAAGTATTTTGGAATAGAGTCCTTGTCCTGCCCAACAGTTTAGTGCAACATTGTTGATAAAACCACTCTTGACTACTGAGATATAAATCTCAACTTTGATATGATGATGCTTCAAGAAGTGTACAAATGCATTTTGGTGACCAAACAACATTTTGATATTCAGTGTAGCTTTAGTTTTCACAGCCAAATTTTTTTTACCTTGATTGTCACCAGGGGTTCATATTAAACCTCTTACAGATTGTGAGTAATCAGAAACCAGGGTCTTCCTTGTGAGTTCTTAAAAGAATTGGTTTTATCAGCTTTGTTTTTATAGTTGGATGAATAGACTGCAGGGAACAAAGTTTTTCTCACTCTCAATATTTAGAGCTTGCTAAAATGCAACATTACTCAACAGTCCTATGCCAGATTCCTAGATGGGATCAATGGTCTCTATCTGTAAATTGTCCTGCAAGCTGTTGCTGAAATATTTCCTGCTTCTTAACCAGGTCAAAGTATTAACAGAAAAGCAAAGTTTAGTGTAAAAAAAAAAAATCTGAAGCATAATTGTCATATTCTCAAATTTATCATTGGAAAATTACCATCTAGTTATCTATCAATGGTTAGACTTTGGATAAATGCCTGCAATTACATTCTCTTTTTTTGATTTAGTGTGGTAAAAACAAGCAATGTGGCTATAGAATGATCTGTAAATTGTTTTGAATCTGGTGTCTGCAGGAAATAATTCTGTGCTTAAATTTACAAAAAGCAAACTTACATCTCTGGCTTAAAGTAAATCTGATCAAACAATGCAGCCTCTTTGTTTTCAGAGGGGTTGCTGTGATGCTTCACTGGGCAATAATGTTCTGCACACTATTTAAATGGGACTTGTTGAATCTCACGCTCTATTCCTGTAACTCAATCTCTCTGTATTTCTGAGTATTTTTGACTGTAGGATGTCCCTCACTAATGCCTGTATCTGCAGTAGGCCTATAAATATACTGCAGGTGGGAAGGTAAGTATATGAAGAAAAGGGCTCTGGTGAGTGGCCTTTGCAGAAAATTACCTTTTATCCTCTTTTCACGGAGATTTATATTTGTAACAACATAGAGTTTTTCATTGCAAGGCCTTACGTGAACCATTCTACTTAAAAAAGTAGATGGAGAGCACCGGGTCAGAGACTAGCTGTGGGCTCTTACCAGTACTACTTCTTTTGCAGCAGGGGGCAGTCGGGTAATTTTTGAAACAAGGTTTAATGTGCCTTTTTTCTTACAGGGAGAAAAGGTAAGTGTCTTAACTCTCCTTAGTATTTGGTTTGCAGCCTATGGCTAGTCTGCAGTTTTCCCTCTTCCTATCCCCTCCCCTCCCATTTGATTTCAGGCTAATCCAGTCTGTTTTGATACTTGTATCAACTCCCATACCCAAACCAGGAATTGCATCAGTCCTTTCACACCATTCTTACTCCACACACAAAGGCCTTGCAATGGAAGACTCACAGAGTGTGTTGATGCAACAGAGTCACTAAGGGTTTCCTCCCTCTTCTTTTTGCCTCCACTTTCTCTTGTCTCACAGGTCTGCCCATCCGCTCCCTCCTGCGGTGAGTAACGCCAGCAGCCTCTGCTCGCTTTGAGCCATTTAGAGTCTGAATCGTTCTTTTAATTTAAGGTACCCCAGAGTTCATGGCCCCCGAGATGTATGAGGAGAAATATGATGAATCCGTTGATGTGTATGCTTTTGGGATGTGTATGCTAGAGATGGCCACGTCTGAGTATCCTTATTCCGAGTGCCAAAATGCTGCGCAGATCTACCGCCGGGTGACCAGCGTAAGTCCCTCCTCGCTACCCAGTCTAAAGCTACCACTGTCAGCAGCAAAGGAGTACAGCTGGGTAGCACCAGTACTGTGCAAGTGTGTATGAGGGGAAAAAAAAAAGCTGACTAGAGGTTTTTTTGGGATGGGTGGGAAGTTACAGCATGGTTGAACACACCAAACATCTGGCAGAAGGCTGTAAAATATGTGAATGGAAATAAAATTTTACACGTGTTCATACTCTTCTTTCAGTGTAGTAGAAGATATTACGTAGAGTTTTAAAAAAATGCAAAAAAGCAACAACCCAAACCAAACAACAAAACACATTAGAATAATAACAGATTATTTTCCAAGCCATTGGGGAGATGGTGGAACTGTTTCAGTCTTGAAGATTAGCTGGTAAATGTTCTCTGTAATAAAGCTAGATCACAGATTCAGAGCAGTTTGGCTTAGCTGCTTACCAGGGCAGATCATAAATTGCTACCCAGAGTAATTTTTATAATTTGAATGCTGAGTGGCCCTCAGCAACTCAGTGTGTTGGGGCTTCTTCTTATAACAATGCAGCAGAAAAACTAGATAAATAGCAGAAGGTAAGTGCTGGTGAGTGTAGTGGTGGTGCTGGAGGCATTGTGGTTGAAACCAAATAAGGCTGAGAAGGCAAGCAGGGAATTTGAGTTGGCCCATCTGACTAAGCTAAGGGGAACCTACAGACGTGGAACATAGGAAGCAGAACTGTAGTGCTAGAAGCGTGGCAGCGTGGCTGTGGCTAGATTTGCTTTGTGATCTCCACAGCAGTGTTGTGAGGACTTCTCCAGTGCAGTAAAACTAACACATTGAACCTTCTGATGTAAGCATCCAGAAAGAGGTGACTGCCTGGGGAAGGAAAGACTTGTACTGGATTTCTCAGAATACCCATGCATGTGTGTGAAGGAAGGAAAAAAACCCAAGACTTACCTCTTTCTCTGATGCACAGACAAATGAATTCCTCTTAAGTCTTTTTGTGTGTATTAACTCAGAGAAGTTGCAGATTTAAAAAAGAACCTGCTTGACTTTGGAAAAATAAAGTTCTTTCTTATTCCTGATGCCTCACACTATAAAAGGCAAATATAATTACTGACTTACAACTGTGGAAGGAATGGTCTTTACATAGGAAGTAATGAATTCTGCAGGTGAAATGGAAGACTGTCCCTTGTTTGAAGGGAAATATTGGAGGGACACAAAAGGAGGAAGAAATAAGGCATAAATAGTTATTTTGGTTTTTTTTGAACAGATGCTACAGTAAGTTTTTAGATACACATATACACACAGAGAAGGGTTTGTTTTTTGTTGGCATTTTTTGTTGGTGGTTTTGTTTTGGTTTGGTGGGGTTTTTTTAATGTTGTTGGACTTATCTGTAATTTTTTAAATAGAGATGAAGAACTAGGCTAAAGTTCTTATAGCTTTCAGCATAATCTGATCTGAAGGTGGTTTGGATCAGTGAAAGAAAACTGGAGTATCTTACCAAAACAGTCCTAGTGGTACCTTTTGCTTTGCTTATAGATGTACATTGGCCAGAGGAAAAGCAATATGATTTGGATGGGCACTTTTTCTCAGAATTGATACCTGATGTAAGTGTCCTGCCTGTTCCTTAAAAAGTGCTACGAGCTAGGCTGTTGGTGAGAATCAGCTGTTGAGATGATCTCAGCTTGGAAATCACCAAGTCTTTTCCCTGGTCTTTGAAGTGCTTAGCAACTGGAAAGCTTTGTAGAGGGTTGTAGCAGAAAAAGTTCTGTAGAGACTTACCAGAGTTCAGCTTACCAACTGTATCTTGTACTTGGTGCACCTTTCTCCCCATTGTTTTTGGTTGACTGTTGAAATTCTAAGTGGATGAGAAACACTGGTAGTTTTTTGGTCTGTCCAACACCACCTTCTCTCCTCCTCTGCTGCTGATGGATCACAGATTGAATTTAATTGTTGACTTTTTTCCTGCTGTTTCATGTGCTGCTTGAGAGCTTCTAAGATTTACTTAGGGGGGAAGGACAGGAAGGTAGAGAAAATGCAATGTACATTTATGTGCTTCCAGGCAGAGGATGAAAGGCCCTGTGCTTTGATATATTTGGGTTTGTTTATTTCATTGTAGTTGCAAAGCAGTTTGTTTAAAACCAAACAAAACCAAGCACAAACAAAACTTGAATAACTTTCAAGGAACTCTTTCAATGAAGGAAAGACAGTATTATCTGGAATTAAAACACAAACCTGTCTTAACTGATAATGGAGAATTCAGTGTTCTATAAGGTGGAAAGCAGTCCTGTGTCATGAATGTAAAATAAAATACTCTTAGTGTTCTTTTTACCGCTCTGGGAACCAAGATGAAAAAGAGCCATATAGTTTTCTGCTCTTGTCCTTTGCTCCCTGTTAAGGAATATAAGATTTTCTTTCATTTCAAAGCAGGCTTTAGAAGTTTACACTATGCATTTGTGGGTGAAGGGTGAACCAGTTGAGAAATTTAGTACTTGAAAGGACAGTGTGTGAATTAACAATAACAGAGTAGAGCCAGAAAACACCTTCCTACATAGGGGAGTCCAGCACTGCTTACCAACACATTTCATTCTATGTGTGTTGGAAGGTGAATGTGGTTTTCTGGAAGATGTTTAGCATCTCTGCTCCAACCCCTTCATATGCTACTTTGCTAGGGATGTTTTGAGGTGGCAGCTGTAGTCCTGCTGTGCCTTAAGTTGTGAGGATTATTTTATCTAGATAAATACACAGAGATCAGAGGAAAGAACAATAAGAATGCTTTGCTGTTGAAAGTCATGAATGATCATGCCATATGGGAGCTTCAAAACCACTGAAACCCCAAAGGCATTAAGATTAAAATGTGCAGCAGGCGATATATATTTAAATTAATTGATTTCTCTCACCCTCTTTGTAGTAACTGTTAGGCTTAGTAAAAAGCAGAGTTGCTCCATTAGCTTAAATCCTTGCTATTGCTTAGGACAGAATCCTGTAGAAGGTGTCTTAATGCCCTCTCAGAACTGGACTTGCTAATACCAGTTTATATTCTTATCTCACATTTTGGCTGTGCCTTGGTCTCTTTTTAGGGAGTGCCTTTAGCTGCACTGCATTTTAACCTTAGCCCTTTTGTATAAGGATTCCTGTAGCTGATGCCCAGATACTGCAGCACTGGGTTGGGGTGTTGGCTGGGATTTCTCAGAGTACTGAGTTGTGTTCTACTTCTTTGGTTCAGGGTCTTCCCTCATAGTTGGAAGTAGATTTTTCTTTAAATAGTAGTTTAGATCAGAATTCTACATCTTTGCTTATCAAAGACTGAAGTTCTTTCCAGAGATGAGACATTTTTTGGCCCAGGCAGTTACTATTGCTTCACATCTTGGACGATGGCACTGCTGCATGAGTCTACTGTTTGTAAGATGCTTGTCTACACTGCCTACATTGTCTCACTGTGAAGTTTCTGTTTTCCCTTAAAGTAGTGCTAGCATAAAGTTCCTGAATTTTTTCTGGTCCAAGAAACAGAAGTGCAATTAAATTGGCATTCTTTCTCTATCTAGAAGAATTTTGCTTTTCAATAGAATAATCTGGGTAAATACCTGGCTTAAAAAAAACCCCAACTGTGCAGAATTTGTGGGGCTCAAGGGGTTTTGTTGAACCTTGATTTACACTTTGGGTAAATCAAGCAGTTTGACACAGAATATTGACCCCGGTACTTGCATCTTCTTGCATACTCAGTCCAGACCCTTTCACTAGCAGTTTCTCTAGAAAGGAAAGAGATCTGCATGTCTTATCTCTCAAACATAAAGGAGAGATGCCTCTTTTTTTTTTTTTTTTTTCTTTAAATCATAATGTTACAGTTTTGTTTCAACTCCCACCCAAATTCTTCACTGAGGCAGTCCTCTGATGTTTGTTGGGAATGATTCCAAATAAATTAGTAGTTTGTGCTTAAAAAAAATTGCAGCTGTTGGGATTTTTTACCTTCCTGGGGGGTTGGGAAATCTGAGGTTTGAGCAGTACGTCTCTAGCTGGGACTGAAAGCATCCAGCAGGCACTTACTGCTGCCTATTTGGCTTCAGAAAAAATTTATCTAAGCCTGCAAAGAATTGACAAGAAGCTACTCTATTTTTAAGGTAGTCTTGCCTGCTCCTGTGATTTATTTTTGCTCCTCTGCCCTCTTGTGCAGGCACACCTGTCTGATACACTACCAGATTTGGGAATGGATCCCCTATTTTTCTTTTTCAACAATTCTACACCATATCAAAGCAATACAGACAGTTCCAACACAAAATGTAGTCAAGATACCTAATTCTGTTATGTAGTTGCTTGCAAAAAAAAAATACTGTAAGATCTTGGTAAAATCTTTGAAGGTTTCCCTGTCTGTTCCTCTGTGGAGGTTGTTTTTGGTGTGTGTTTTTTTTTTTTTTCTTTCTGTTTTTTTTCCTTTGACCTGCTCCATGCATATTTCAATTAAACAATTTGTCACAGGAGATATTTAAAATGGGCTACACGTGCATTTAAATGGAAACAGAGATATTTATAGAACAGACATCTTAAGTATGATTTCTTAATTTAGTCTGTTTGGAAAGCAATGCAGTGAAGGCATAACTAACTGCAGTAACTTCAGCTGCTTTGCCTCAGCCTCTGGTGAGACTGCTGAAATCCAAGCTGTTGCCTCAAAAGCTAGTTTGTTTTTTCCCTTGTTTGTGTTGCAGTTATCACTCACAGATGTAGTATAGGCCTTTTTTTACTTTTACACTGTATTTCCTTTAAACTTGCTTTTTGTAGCACAGAGATTATTTTTAAAAGCATGTAGAGGTACTGATTACTCAATCTTTAGTACTTGGATGTCACAAGGCTTAAATTTTCTAGGTGCTTGACTAGTTCTAGGACTAGTAAAAAGACGATTATTGGGTTTATTACTATCTTTAATGAGTTTAATATACAGATTTATCTCCTTCATCCATATCTACCACTAACATAAACATCCAAACACTGATTGCAAAAAAGTTAGTAAGACAGTCCTCAGTTTCAAATGTACTCATCAGTTGAGTGTGAGCAGAAAACCCCCTTTTTCTTTCTCCCCCTCCCATTGTATAAACTTACCTTTTAAGTTCTCCTGGCAGACTTGTGCTTTGGACTTGATTTTTCTCCGCGCTTAGTTTGACCAAGTGAACTTTTGCACTTCTTTTCTTTCACCAGAAGTGCAGTCTCTTCTCTCTAAACCAATGTCTGCTGTCTGAGCTGGCCCTAAGATGAGAAGGAGGGGGGGAAAGGCATTTTGCATTTTGACTTTAATGAAAAAAAAAAAAAAAGGTGGTACTGTACTGAAATGTTCCACAGAGTGGGCATAACATTTTCCTTCTCTGTTCTCCAGAGCTTGAAAAAGAGCCTAAGGGAACAAGGTACATAATGAGTAACCTGACCAGGCAGTGTCTAACTGGTTTAAAAATCCTTAATTTCCCTAACTGGTGGGAACTGGAAGTCGCTGGTTAGAGTGAAGGTCATTCTCTTTACTGCAAACTAGGCAGTTACAAAGTGCTGTTGTTTGGTCAGTTGAGATAAAATAATTTCTTCTTTAGTATCTTAAAAGTTAGGCATCGTAACTGTCTAGAGTAGTCAACAGCTTCATTTTCACTAGAGATGATGCAATAGGCAAAGTATTCCAGATACTTTTTCTTCTTGAGGGGTCCTAGGCAGCAAATATAAGTGCTAAACTGTTAGATGTATGATGAATTTTACTTGCAGTTCTTAATGAATGATGGTGAAATGTCCTCTTTTGTTTCCTGAAAGCAATGTGCAACTTTTTTAAGGCATGAATAAAACTCTTGTTTCTTTACCTTGAATAACTTGGTTTTTTGACCTGGTTTAGGTTGATACAAAGGCATCCCTCATATCAAGCTTTGTAGTGAAAAAAACGCTGGAAAAAAAAAAAGGAAAAGTAGGGGAGGAAAACCTCTAACAGAGCAGGTAGTCTTTTGTTAAAGCAGGTACTGGAAGGCTACAAACCTCTAACCAGGAAACACATTATTGTAAGAAAGGGCAAACTCTTGTATTCATTGAAAGAAGAAACTTTGGGTACTTAAATATTAAATAGAAAAAGAAAAGAAACATCAGATGCAATTCCTTTGAATCGTACTGAACAGACTAAAGAAAACTTCTACCACTTGCCTCTTGTAGCTGTTCAACTCAGTTGCAAGCATTTTGCTGGAACAGCTTTAAGAGTGAAGAATCTTCCTGCGTGGAGATTGTCACTGACCTGTCAGCTGAGAAATATATAGCTTTAAAAATGGAAGATGGGAATTTGAGGTTTTAAAGCATTAATATCTTAGGCAGCTTTGCATGTCACTGTAATTTCTTAAAGAGGACCTCTAAAGTGATCTAAGTAAGAAAAAGCAGTGATCAGCATGAACACTGAGGTGTAACTTGCTGCATGTCAGGTGACAAACATGAGTAAGGGCCTGGAGCATCTCTTGTGAGGAAAGGCTGAGGGAGTTGGGCCTATTGGGCCTCAAGAAGAGGTGACTGAGAGGGGACCTCATCCATGTCTATAAGTGTATGCAGGGAGGGTGTCAGAGGATGGAACCAGGCTCTGCTCAGTGGGGTTGAGCAGTAGGACAAAACGCAGTGGGCAGAAACTGATACACAGGAAGTTCCACCTGAATATGAGGAAGAGCTTCTTTACTGTGAGGGGATGACCAGGCACTGGAACAGTTTGCCCAGAGAGGTTGTGGAGTCTCCTCACAGGAGATATTCCAGAACCATCTGGACACAATCCTGTATCATGTGCTCTAGGACAGCCCTGCTTGAGCAGGGAGGTTGGACCAGATGACCCTCTGTGGACCCTTCCAACCTGACCCATTCTTTAATTCTGTATGGTTTGCACAGCTAAGGCAGATGACATCTGAAGTTGGAAGGAAAAGGGCTTATTCAACTGGATTCTTTTCTAAAAGTAGCTCACTTATACGACTTGATCACAGAGGCATCTGTACTATTCAGCATCAACAGCTTCTAGATTACAGCTAAAAATGTTTTGTCAGTATTGGTGTAAAACAAGCTTGGTTTGAAGTAAAAGGAGCTATTTTTTTCTTAAATACACCACTGAGTCTGGAATGTGTCCCTTGACAATTTTGAATCAGATATGACTTTAAAATGGTTGTGAGCATTGGTTGAGTTGCATAAAATCAAGATCTAGTTTATTTTTAGGTTCTGAAATTTGGTTATATTGTGGAGTTTGGCAGTGCAACCTAAATAAATTCACAGAATACGGACTAAACAATGTTTAAAAATTTGAAAAGTTGGTAATTAAGAATCAGACCTCTTAAAACTGTAATATTAATATTTAATATTCTGTCCTGTACTGACATCCATTTAGTTCTTACATTAACTGAGGTTAATTTAACAAGAGGTAGGAAGGTGGCTCTTAGGAACAGTGACTTGGTAAGTGTTTTTAAAATGCCTGGCTCTGCAGTGAGGTGAGAACCATGAGAATTCTATGATTAGTGAATCATTGAAGCATTACTGTGGGGAGACTGATAGTTCAAAGTTATTTGTTTGTATAGTGCCACAAGTCAAAAATAATTACATTAAAAAGGCATGGGCTACTATTTTGTGTCCTGCCAGCTGTACTGCTATAGTTGCACAGGGATAGGAGTGGGATAAGTCTAGGAAAGTTTTAGTCTTGACTAAACTCACAGAGATGTTGAGTAACAATAAATTATTTTGAGGTTATGTGATTCATAGGCCAGAACTCCACCAAAATTTTACATAAACCCTCTATAGTTACCTCCAGACTCCTCAGAGCTGTTGTTAGAGCAGGCAGTGACATGGGGCTGTGTGTGCCTGTTGGAGTGCTTTAGTTTGCTCCTGTGTTGGAGAATGAAGGGCACCAGAGTTGAATATGATTTTGTTCATTTCAAAAACTAGAGGGACACAACGGACTAAAATGTTAATGCTGAAGAGAAAAAAGGCTGTTGCTTCTCTGTCCTTTTAAGTAGCTTCCTCACACTGTGAGCTCTATTTTGAGGAAAACTCTTTTCAGAGATGTATTTCTACCTTACCACCTGTTACCACCATCATAAAATTCTCTGTATAGCAGGAATACTTTTTAGGACAACCTTCTGAAACTGTTGGATCTTTGGGTACACAAGTATAAATTCTTCACTCCTAATAGAATAAATCCGAAAATAAAAGGCATGGTGACTTTTGGTGCATTTTTGGAATTGTGCACTATTTTTGGTATGCTGCAGCATTATCCCAGGCTTTTTAAGTAGGTATCCTTTCTAAAGGCTGGTTCTGGTACCAAATGTGTTTTGTGGCCCATGTTGCATCATTTTTTAAATTCAGTTTGAAGTCCACTGGAACTAATCTGTGGCTTTTGAATTATTGTTACTGTACATGAACTTAAAATTGAGTGCTAGGTGATGATTTTCTACCAGAATGAAAGCAGACTAAAGCAGAGAATGCAACTAATACAATTTTTCAAAAATATATTTTCCATACTGAAGATAGATGACAGATACTTTTAGTATTGTGCCACTGTGGCATTTCTAAATTTATAGAACATTTGTCTAGGCATGTCTGTATTTCTTTTTGAAAACCATTTTCAAGCTGAAGTCCTAATAAAGCAAAGGATCATTGAACTAGCTTAGGATCTTCACCACCCCAGATTCATGTTCACATGGTAAAGGCAGCATCCCTGCTTATAAGGGTGAGGTTAAAGAACTGTGCACAGTAGATGCAAATTATCTTTATGCTTTTGTGCAAGAATTAAAATAGTTAGTACCTGGTCCACTTGTCCAATCAGACTGTAGTGTTGTTCAGAAGAACTTCTGTCCTTGTACTGTGTGTTTCTAAACAGGGCCCTTTTCGCTCTTCCATGCACCAGTATCCTAATTGTTTGCCAGATATACGCTGGGGAACTGTGTTTTAGTTACAAAATTTCCTGTTCTAGAGCTTGATTAATTTCTTCTGTTCATTAGAATTACTTCATTTAGAGTAGGTGTTGTGATTAAATTTTTTTTTTTCCAACTAAAACCATGTTCTTAGCTCCAGATTCTCAGGACTTCTGAAAAAAGCTAATACTCTTATTTACCTGGCAGTGCTGAAGTACAGTGGGCTTTCGTGTCCGATGTAAAAACTTAAAACACCTTGTGTTCTGGGCTAGATAACTTGTCAGTGAGGTAACTCTAAGCCATGCTGTATATTTGGCAGTAGTGCATAGGATTTCAATATTATCACAAATGCAGTGGTTTTTTGACCTTTTTTATCTCCTTTTACTTGTGAGTACTGGCTGGAAAGGATTGCAACCAGTGATTTCTAGGAAGAGTTATGATGAGCTCCTGTTCAAACTTAATGGTGAGGGAACAAAGCAAGAGAACTGTAGCCTACTATCTTGATCTTGTAAGGCTTTTAATGCTGTGAATTCTTTGGCTTTAAGAGATAAAAATACACTGACAAAGAAGTTGGTTAAGCAGGCAGTGTCAGTGTCCTGTGGCTCCTGGGCTTGGAGATCAGTTGTAGGACACAGATGTGGAGGTGACAGGGAGCAGTGATTGCTAGTCAAATCAGGAGTCTGCTTTTGCTTTTCACCAAAGCTTATCTCCTGCCAATGAGCAGGTACTTCCTTTAGGAAGAAGCAATTAGCACGAGTGTATCCTTCAAAATACAAATACACCCTGTGTGTATAGCAGCTTTGTCTGGGAATTTTTTGGTGTGTTTGGCCTCTTGTTTTTTATTAATGCCTCAAAAGTTTTTTGAGGGTAGGTGGTAAACTGGGGAGGAAAAGAGTTTCTGAATTGTGGTGATCAATCAGGTTGCAGCAAGCAGGCCTGTATAAATTCTACAGAACCATTGTTGTCTTTACAGCATGTTTGTGAACTGCAAGCATACATCCTGATCTGCTGCAAGTCATGAATTCAGTTGGTTTGGAGAAAGTTAAGAACCATGGGACTTGGATTGCTTACACATCATCATCACAGAGGGTGAAGACCAACTGGTTAAGCTGTTTCAGTGACTTAGAGCTCTCAAGTAGCTGAGATAGGAGTTTGGATTTGGATGATAATAGATCAGTTGAGTTCAAAAGGTTTTGGGTTCAAAATGTACAGTCATTGATTTTGATCAGCAGAGGAGACAATGAGGCCTGTCCCAGTCTGCACCATGCCTCAGGAACTAATTCTGGCTCACTGGGAGCTTTCATCTGCTTCCACTGCTTGTATTGCAGTAATGCTGTTTACTCTGTTGGGATACTGATCTGGTGCAGAGCTTATTCTGCAGGATTTACCAATTTAATTCTTAGTGGAATTATCAATTGTCCAGAATTAATTGCTATGAAAATACTGAAATTGGTGAAACTAAATTTTCACTTCTGTTAAACATGTTGCATTTCAATTTTTTTCCCCATGCAGTCTCAACTATTCTAACTTGCTTTTTAACCAGAAAAAGAAAATCATCTTCTGTAGGCAACGCACGTCTTTTGAACTGAGTAAATCTGAAGCTGAAATTTTTTCATCATTGTACGTATTTAATTGAACTGGGATGAGAATTATCAGTTATAGGTGTATCCTGTGTGAAACAAGGAAAGAACTAAAGCTGAAAGATAGTTCTTAGAACAGGCAGTAAGGTTAAGATGAACGATGTGAGATGGAAAAGGTAGTGAAATGGTTAAACACTCAGGTTTTGAGGAGGACAGGGTAAGTAATAACAGGTAGTGAAATTTAGGAGATCATGGGGTAAACCTATTTAAATGCTATATATGCCATTGCCTGAGGGCATCTTTGAGACTAGGGGGAAAGAGGTAGGATCGCTGGCTTTTTTTCCACTGGAATCATATGCTCTCTCTAAATTCCTGGAATTAATGGTTTGTGGCAGCCTGGGACTGGCTTAAACTAGAAAGGTAACAACTTAGCAAAAAGAAAATATAGAGACTTTAATTACTTTGTTTGTGGGATTTGACTTTGCTACTGATTTTATTAGCTTCTAGACTGCAAAGTTAGAACATTTTGTTTGAGAAGATTAATCAGTTACAGTAGAATTCCTTTCAAGCTCCGCAGTTACAGCACCTTTGAAAAGAACCAAGCAAGAGTTGTGGTTAGACTAGGACAGGTAGACTCTGTGCTTGTTAAAAGCTGAAATGTTTAATTTTCTTTGCAGGTCATGCAGTATACCCCTCAAAAAACCTTAATTAGGTGTGCAAAAGGTTAGATTGTTATTCCAGTGAAGTAGATTTGCTTTGACTGCAGAGTGTCTGTTTGGTTTGAGTGCAACTGCAACAGCTAAGAAAAAATTTATAAGCAATGGCAAGCAAAGTTCCAACGTGCTTTAAGTGCTGTTAAAATGGAGTTGATAATCAACAGTGGATTTTTTGGGGGAGGTGATGGTGGTGGTTGTAAATGTCCAGCTAAGCAGTTGGAAGGCCAGTCAACATAGCAGGATCTTTAATGATCCCTTTTGCTTTGACTCCTGTACGGTTTCACAACAGCTGGTGAAGAGGAATTCCAAAATGCCCAGTGTTGCTTTTGCAACACTGGTGTTGTATAGTATAACAACAGCACTGATACAGTTGTGGAATAATTGAATTGAGGATGTTATTTTGGGGTGAAAAATGATCTTGGTAATTCTAAATTGAATTTTATCACAGTTTATCATTTTGAGGTAGTCAAAGTTCATTTGCTAGCTTCGTACTTCAAGAAGGTGCACCTGAGCTTTCTTGGCTTTGCTCCTGATATCTTTGCAAAAAAACCCAAACTAACCCTTGAAGCTCTAGACAGTTCATTTCATTAATAAACAAGTTTTATAATAGTTGTTTGAAACTAGGTTTTAGAAAAAAACATCAGACTTGTGGCTTAGGTTTGAAATCTAGCAACTTGGACGTGTAACTCTGGATTATTTGTGCACATGTGGTGTAAAACAAGCAACAATGCACTTTTCTAACTTTGTCCAACAGTTTGAAAGTCACCTTCAAATCCCCATTCCCTTACATTAAAGCACCCATTAAGCAGATAATGTTGCCAACGGTAGCAAAATGCTGTTGTCAGGAAGGAGGGAGGTGAATTATATTTATGCTGCTTTGTGTTTTGCTGGGATTGTAGTCAGCTGTATGTATTCTTCTGTAGCTCCTTGGAAAGGAGAGAAACAGCTGCCTGCATTCCCCTGCGCAAAATTACTGTGAGCAGCCTTGGATTTGAACAGCCCACTGACCGAGCTGTTTCCCCTCTTTAAAGTGGTACTTCTGGAGCAGCAGCATCCTGATGATCCTACCTGCAGCCTTAACCCAGTGCAGAAACAATGGGTGGAGAATAGGTAGAGCAGCCAAGCAGGAGGGCGGAGACATGCAGGAAGTAAAGAATCCTTCCTTGTCACTTCTTCCTCCTCCTTGCAGCCAGCTGGGCAGGCAGAAAAGGACACGCTTACCTCGTGCTTATATTGATTCTTTCTATTCAGCATTAGAGTGACAAAAGGAGATATTGAGCTCAAATCTCTGCAGCCTCATGTACTGGACTTGGAAAATAACAAGAGGTGTCAAACAGGAAACAATGTTCCCTTCTAGCCTTGATCTCTGCTTTCCGTCTGCTGTGCGTTAAGTCCACAGCCTAGTGGATTCCCGTCGGAAACTAGCACCTAGCTGACTCTGGTGTGCGTGCCTCTCTTTTCCTGATGGATTTTACAAAAAGAGAGATCTGTCCCATATTTGTAATTGTTAATTCCCACTGTTGCTGCTCTCACAAGGATTGTGCTAAAGAGGTAAGTAAGAATTTCAGCTCTGTCAAGTGCCTGTAGCCACAGGGAAGCATTTTGGAGGTGAATTCTTGACAAATCTGCTGAACTGTCTTACATTTGCATAGCTTGGGTCTTCAGCTTTTGAACTTGACTGTACTTTTCCCCCCTGTAATTATTTAAACGTAAATTAAAATCCCAACCAGCAAGGCTGGAACAATAATTGCTTCTGCTACTTTCCACCTGGGTTTTTGTTCCAAATCTAATTATTTTTTCATTTAGAATGTCTGAGGGTATGTAACACCTCATCTGTCTTCATTTTGGTTTGTTGCAGAGGTTATGCAGCACCGATTGTACCTTCTCTAATGAAGTAAATAATGTGTTCAGTATCTCTTGCCTTAGAACAAGATGCTAAACAGTAATCTAGTGATCTAAGTAATGCTAAGTACTTTGTTTCTAGGCAAAAATTTTGAAGAAGAGTTCTAGATAGCTTATACTCCGGTGTTTTAAAGTTTCTTGGAAATTTGATTTTTTTAAGAATACCTAACTTGCTTTTAGTTGATCATATAAATCTTGAATTTTGGAACACACTTCTTTTACCTGGTAAAGTCTGATAAAATCAGAAACTTTATCGCATTTAAATTAAATATGAAATCTCTTCTTATGCTTAACATGAGCACTGTAGGATGAGCTTTTAGTTTGACAGTGGCACTTTGTGTTACCTACGTATATGTCCATATTTTAGAGGTACTCTCAAAATGGAAGTGATCAGTGGGTTTTAAGTTCTGCCCTTGTCAACTATTGCTCTGTGATTTTTCTGTCTGTGAGAAGGGCAGCGGTGTACCAGACTGTGAACTCCAGCTCACTGGAAACTACTGCAGGCTTTTTTGATTGAATTTGTTTCAAGTCTGATATATGCTGTGATTTGGTTCATTGTGAAACTCTATAAATGCATTTGCCGGCGAAAGAGAGGAAATGACAATGGGTGTGGGAATGGGAGATGGAGAAAGGGAGGCTCTTGCTTCCAGCAGCACTGCCAGTTTGTGCTAATTTAGGTGGTAGCTTGAGAAAATGATGATTTTCATGTGTGCCCGTTACACCTCTGCACACTTTTTTTTCTCTGTGAGACCTCTTCCTTCTATTTCTTTAGCAAACTCAGAAATAATGCCAGTGGGATTTGGGTGTTTAGCCCTTATTAAAGTGCCACTGGGGAACAGGACTGCTGGATTAAAAAATTTGAGTAGCCCTGTGATTCTTCTAAGGAGTTTGGGGGCTAGGAGAGGCATATAGGAATGTGACCACCTTAAGCATGGTAAAAACCAGGAAACACCGAATGGCTTGGTATTTACTTGTGAGCCTTTGGGTTCAGAAACTGAGGAATGTATGCTTGGCTGCCCAGCTTCTGCACTCTTAAGGACACATCAGGGTTATGTGAAGTGCAGGGCCTGGCCTCCCTTGGGTTTCTGTGTGATGGCTGGTTAAGGTGTGTAGGCAGTTCTGGATAGAAAAGAGTTCACTGATGCTTTGATTTTTTTTTTTTTTTTTCCCCCAGTCATTCCTAGTGTCTTCTCTCTTGTTATATAAAATAGTTATTCCCACTAATGTTTGGAGGAGGAAAAGTTTTTTAAAAAGCTGGTGAACTCCAGCATAGGGAGAGCTTGGCCAGCACTGTGGACTGGACTTAGGCAACCCTTTTCATGGGCTGTGGAGCAAACTGAGAAACAGGGAGCTGCTTGAACATGGAATCCTCTGGTGGTTTTAGGCCCTAGTGTGAGGTTCTCCTAGATTTTCTGGGGTGCAGTTAGGAACATGGAAGCCATGCTGGCAGAGGTTGGCAGGAGAATCACTTTTTAACTGAACTCCTGGTTTGGAATTCACAAAATTGGATATTGTAAAATGGTCCTCATGGAAGGGGTCTGAAGATTTTGGACAGGTGTTTCGTTTCTTTCAGGGTAGAGAAACACAGGGTAGCAGATGGAATCACAGGTTATAAAATCTATCCTCACCTTTAACTTTTCAGACTCTGTGCAAGAACAGAGCATGTGGTAAAATAGTTAAGAAGAAAAATCACGTTCTGGCTTTGTTGTGTTGATATTTTGCTGTGCCAGTTGTCTTCCTCATGTTACCTTTCAGTTTTTCTGAAATGAGACTGTCGCAGATCTGACATGATCCTTCTGCTGCCACAGCCTAAATGAAGGTCTTTGGGGGCTACTGCTACATCTGGGACTTGAGTTGTTTAGGAGGCTTACATGTGTTAAACTTTGGCAAATTGAGATAGGAATATGTGCAATAAGTAGTTGAGTAACTGTTGCGTAGGCTATATGTGTACATGCATATAGGAGAGCATTTAATTACATGTGGAAACATCTATACTACACATATAAACCTGAATTCCTGGGACCACATTAAGCTTGGTCATAATTAAAGGTGGACATCTTTGACAAGTCAGCTACATGGGCAGAGTTCTGTAAATCCTTTAGAGTGGAGAGCCCTGTCATGTCCTGCTAGGAAGCTGGAGGTTTATGATATAGCCTGGTTACAGTACTAAGCTTAGCCATCTAAACTTGGGTCTGTCTTATCACCTGAGGCATCGATTTTCTTAAGTCTTGATGTTCAGTGAAGCTTTTAAAAGCATTAAGCTAATGTTCACTGACAACCTGTGTTTCAGAGCTTATTCTGGTCACAATGTAGCCTGCAGTTCTGTGGATTTCAATTGCTAGAATTTGATAAGAGCAAATTTTAGACCAAAGAAATCAATAACCAGAATGCTGTTATAACAGGAAGTTTTTTATCAAATAAAGTTTTTCCTATAGTGTGGGTGGTTTTTGTTGGCTCTTTTTCTTTGAAAAATTCCAGATACAACATCTTTGTAAAACATAGTGGCAGATGTTGCCCACTGAAAGATTGGACTCTTTTTGCTTCTTGCAGTCTTTGGTTTACATCTGTTGAAGTTGATGTTGATGATGCCCTCTCCTGGAAGAGTGTGATAGAGAATATTTTAGGTAGTGAACATGTGAAGTCAATGTACTGCCATGTCTGGCTGAGGGAAGAAGTATCTAAATCTAGATGGAAACTATTACCACATTAAGTCTCCATGGTTGGTTAAATGAAGGTCTGTAGTTGCAAAGACTCAGGTTCAGAGACTCAAACATTTCTGTTTCAAGACTTGTTTCCCACAGACAGTAGAGGGATAGGGAAGGGTCTTGTCATGATGTCCACATGTGGTGGGAAACAGTGTTGTATAGGTTATTGGGAGAAGTATTTTTTGTTTAGGACTCAAATCATGATGTTTGTACTGCATTTATTTCTGTACTTCAGATTCTATGGTTTTCATTTTCTGTGTAGTTGTGATTTACCAGTGGCACAAGGTCAAATGTATCAAGTGTGTAATTTCAGGATTGTTAGGCTTGAAAACACCAGCTCTTCATATACCAGAATCTGAACAGGATGTCTTCATCCTCTTTCATTCTGCTGTCTTAAATACAGAGTTTGAAGCTAAAGGCTGCATCGAGTAAAACTGAGTGCCAGATTTTGCTGTTGTGGACAATTAGCCCCAAAATAGAGCTTCTGGCCATGATTGAGTGATGAAGCTTGGCTCTCTGCCTGTAATGTTTCTCAGAATTCCCAGATGGTCATATCTCATGGCCTGTTTGTTTTACTCATTTAGATAGCTGATCTTATTTGGATTTTGATTTGCTCTCCCCCCTGGTTTTAGCATGTATTGGAAAAAGTATCACTGTGTGTTGTGGAAGGGCTTTTGTAAAGGCCTGTATTGCCTGAGCTCATTTTCCTGAACTCACAAAAGCAGTGATGCAGGAGTGTGGTTTGGATATAGTAGATCTTCAGGGGAGAGCTAAAATACTGGGAAGACTTTTTTGACATTGGGCAAGTTATTTAATGATCCAGTTGGATCATTCTGGGCTAAGGTTTTTCCTGTAAAATCAATCTATGCCAAAATTACTTCATATAATGGCATGTTGGAAACATTCTAGGAAGCAGCAGAATGCTTGGAAGACTTTTAAATAATCATGTAGGTTCCTGCATTAGTGTTACATAGGAAGCATTTCCTTCCATTCTCAGGCCAGTCTGTGTTCTTGCCTTTAGCCAGCATAACTTCTGTGGAAACTAAACAGTTCTCCTGCCCTGAGAACTCAAATGTCAATGCCTTCTGTTATGGAAGTGTAGCTGAGAAATGGGAAGGGGGTGTGTGTGGGATGTTTGCAAAGTCACTAACAAACAAATGAAGGGCAATCCTGGAGTCAGATTTCTCTCTAATTTTCACTTATTATTTAGACCAGTTATCTATAGAAAATATATATATATATATATAAATAGTTGGTCTCTACACACAGTCAAGACTTTAGTCAAGTGAGCCTTCCAGTTTCTCAGTTCTCACTTTTATATTTCAGGGTGTCAAACCAGCCAGCTTCGATAAAGTAGCAATCCCTGAAGTGAAGGAGATTATTGAGGGATGCATTCGGCAAAACAAAGGCGAAAGGTAAGTACTTCTTTTTCAGATGGAGGTCCTAGCTGCTGTCCAAGTTTTTTAATCTGTGATGATACCAGATCCAGTTAATTCCTGGGGTTTTCTGTGATTGGTGTGATTGGTATAAGTTGGGAAGGCAGTAATACTTCTGCAACTTCTGTTCGTTGGTAGATTCTGATGCAATGATTATTTTAGAGAATTAACAGTACCAGGAAAAGTGCAAATGCTGTAGTAACCATCCATGTCAGTTTGTTCAGAAACATTACTGCTTGTATTAAAACTTTGACCCAGTCAGCAAAATTATGGAGGACAGTTCTTCCAGGTTTCCAGGTATTTGGATTTGGTTGGTTGGTTTTGTTGTGTAATCCTTGGTTTTTTTTCTATTCCTTTGATTCTGTTGGTATTCTATGGTTAATTATTTTGAGGACTCTTCTTAATTTTGAAATTCTTGATACTTGTTTCTATCCACATCTTCTGCAAGATGACTTCTACTTGAAGTGGTTAACTTATACCATTACAGGAAATATGTAACTGTTCTATTGGGTTATTTGTGGAGTTTGGGTTTTTTTTTTCTGCTTTTACATGGCTGTTGTTTATTGACTGTCCTACTTAAGAATACTTCAGCCCTTGTCCCCTCTCTAGTCTGCTCCTCTTCTGTTCAGAGCAAGTTTTATGTGTCTATGGATGTTTATTCATCCCCTTCTACTAACTCTTGAAGTTTTACATCTGATTGTGTTGTGTATTTTTAATTTCAATGCTTTTCCTTAAACAACTTAGTATTATTTTCCCCCATTTTAAGTTCATTTTCTGACTGCACATCACTTATTTCTTGCCATTTTGTTTAAGCTGTTAACTGCTATTGTTAGTATATGAACATAAATCTCATGTACTACATGAGGCTTTTGATAAGATCTTGAAGTAGATTGAAATACATACTTGGATTACTGCATTAATTTGGGGACTAAGGGTTGTGTGTTAGATATATATAGATATATAAATACACCCAAACTGTCTTTTCAAGGTTTCTTATTATTTTATTTAATATATATTCTGTTCATTTGGCTTCCATCTTTTGGTTCTTCTGCTGACCAAGGTGTGGTTGGTTTGAGGTTTCTCATACATCTGTAGCATTGTTGCATTTTGTTTCTCATTTATGCTTTTTACTAGAAATTTGTATTCTAGTCTGCCAATTCATGAGATGTGTATTAAGTTAGAGAATAAATTTAGGGGAACATCAGGCAAGGATATTCCTTAATATCTTATGAAAACCTAATAACTGTGTGTGGTTTCTATGTTCTTTCCCAATATGCTAGATATGCTATTAAGGACCTTTTGAATCATGCTTTCTTCCAAGAAGAGACTGGCGTACGGGTAGAACTAGCGGAGGAAGATGATGGAGAAAAAATTGCCATTAAACTCTGGCTGCGAATTGAAGACATCAAAAAACTCAAGGGCAAATATAAAGATAATGAGGCAATAGAGTTTTCGTTTGATTTGGAAAGAGATGTCCCAGAGGATGTAGCACAGGAAATGGTGAGTGCTGATGGTTTTCCAAAGCTTAGGAAGTATTGGTGTTTTCTGACAGTGAAACGTGGTCTGTCACCTTTTACTGTTGCTGTCTGGAAATAAAGCTGGTTCAGAGGTTTGTGAATGGGAATTTAGTGCCAGAGAGAGTGGTAGCTTATGCTGTAGCACTGACGCAGTGGCTGTCTGTGGCAGTCTGAATTCTGTGAATATATCCTCCTTCAGGTGGAATCTGGCTATGTCTGTGAAGGGGATCACAAGACAATGGCGAAAGCTATCAAGGACAGGGTATCTTTGATTAAGCGAAAGCGAGAGCAGCGTCAGTTGGTGCGAGAAGAACAGGAGAAGATCCTTCAGGAAGAAGGTAGTCAGAAGCAGCAGCTGGAGCAACAGCAGCCAAGCGCTTCCTATGCAGGGTCAAAGCATCCCCAGTCTGTCACTGGTACTACTCTTGTCCCCACTGCTTCAGCATCGGTTTCTACACAAGTGGAGCCTGAAGAGCCGGAAGCTGATCAACACCAACAACTGCAGTTCCAGCAGCCCAATGTATCTGTTCTTTGTAAGTGTGTCAGCTGGTTTATTTAGGAACTCTTACACAGTTCCCGTTAGTCTTACACTTTTGGTGACTATGACAGTAAATATCTTAAGGTGATGCTGTCTGCTGAAGAGCAATAGCCCACTAGAAAGCACAGCAAAATAAGATGCGTTCCTGTGCCTTAGCTGAGCCAAGTCTTGGCACAATTCACAGTCCAGTGTCTTAGTACAAAATCATTTCTCTTAGTTTCAGGGTAATACACTGAAGGAACTGGGGCACCTCAAGCACAAACACGTGTCCTTGATTTTGCTGTCCTATAGGGACAGTATATTCTGGCCCTGCAAAAGGCTGTGTACTCTGGTACCAGTGCAGATCAAGATATTAAAACCACTTATCCTTGTTAACTTTTGTTTAAGGTGGAAATGAGATAAATCTACAAGTAGTTCAGCTCATAATTTGCTTTCTGAAAAGGCTTTATTTTTTGTTTTACATATTATAGATTAAAAGATGAATTAATATTCCTACCTTTTCCTCTTCTGCCATCCCAACATTTGAATCGGTATTTGAATAATGATGGTAGATGAGAACTTCCATATTACAATGATGAAGTTAAAAAGCAAATTATTGTCTGTTCTATAGGTACAGGGATTTTACACTGACTACTAAACCTAGTTCACTACTGTGCCTACATGATGCATCTGGCAGCCAGCACAACCCACCTGTTTTACATGTGCATGTAAAATTTAAAATAATGATTTTAAAACCTGTTAAAGATAATTCATAATGTTGTGGAATTTAGGTTTCTATGTCTAGTCTAGCCTTTTATAGGAAACATACTTTACTATTAAATATCTTCCCAAAGTACTTCTGAAATTATTAATTTTTTCAGGGGTTAGGGGAAGGCATATTGATAATTAATTACTGTATCGAGGGGTAAAAAGATATTTTTTTAACCAGCCTAAATACTACAAGAGGTAAAATGCTGTTAAGGCCCACGTGACATAGCACAAACACCAATCTAACATTTGATCGATTTATAATATCTTTCAAGTTTTGAAGCCAGATGGCAGTTCTTGAAATGCAAATTTTTTACCTTTAACTTTCACAGCTGATGGGACAGTTGACAGTGGCCTGGGGTCATCTGTTTACAATGAATCGTGTGTGGGCAGCCAGACTGTGTCCTACGGTTCCCAGCTTGACCAGTCAGCCTCCAACACTGCAGTCCAGGGATATGCAGCTTCAGTTGGCCAAGTGCAGTCCCAGCAGCACGGAGGATTTCAGCCAGCTGCAGGGGTAAGCTGGAACTTGGAGTATTGCAAATGCATGGAATTATCTGATTTTTGTATGCCTGTTGAAAGGTGAGGGGAGAGTCTACCAGGCCATCTCCCATGTATGTTTTGTTTTCCATAGGATACAAATTCTGCATGGGAGTAGTTTTAGGGGCTTTTTTTGCAAGGTGACGAAGTTTAGAGTGGGGAGGTAAAAGGGTTGTGTTTAAAGTTTTTATTTAATCTTGGGTGCACTTATGCAGAATGGTGGGTTAGTTTTTTTTATGGATGCAAGTAACATCCTTGGAATAAGACTATCTCAAGAATGTAAGCATTCGTCAATGTAACGCTCACTTGGGAAGGTGGTCTGTGTATGTGTATATGAAGTTACCAGGGATTAAACTGTTGGTCTAGTTTGAAGAAGGGATTAGAACAATTTGAGCTACTGTATGAAATTGCTGTGTGTGTTCTGTGAGGCTTTGATTACAGATTTTTGCAGGTAAGATTGTTTGACTGTTATAGAATGCTGCATGTGAGAACTCCAGACTGACAAGACCCCACATCCTTGTTCCCAGTTTTATTTCTAGCTTGTTGATTTGCTCATCATGCGTATTCCTTTTCCCTGGAAAGTCTGCACTGGGCACAAATACTTTTCCTACTATGTTCATTTGTGTTGCCCTTTTATTTTGGTATTTTTTTTCCTTGATATGTTTTTGGATCTGATAAGAGACTTTGCAGAAATCTATTCTAACTCTGGAGTAGAACTTCTGCTACTTTTATATTGTCTTCAGTGGTTCCCTTGTCATTTGTTTTTTACACAAATGGAAGTCTGAGGCAGAGACATTATGGTATAATGTAACAATACCGTAAAGGAGAAGATATGTCACTTTAGACTGAGGGTCCTCACTTCTGGTACCTGGGGTTGAAGGCTTTGTTGCATAATCACTGGTGTAACTAGCTTTTTGGGAAACAGGCTGGTATCACTCACAAGCAAAGCATCTCCATCTTTTTCCAAAACACTTAACCTGAGGTGTGTGGTACTGCTAGTCCTTGATGATGAGTTCTTAATCCCTCTAAATAAGCTCTTTTTCTGGGTAAGCTATATTTTGGTATAATCTTCTGAGAGGGAGAGGGAGAACAAGCATATGATAGAGGTTTAGCCAGGCTTAGTTTATTGCAAAATGTGCTCATGCTGTATGATGACAACAGTGGTACCAGGAGGCTGACAGAATGGAGTAGAACACTACAGGAACTTCTAACTCTGTTTTGGGAAGACAGGATGACAAATGGAAATTATATTGGCAACTGGAAAAATGGCCTTAATCATAGAACACAATTCAATCAGGACGAGAACAAGGTTCACGCTTAACTGGAATAATCAGCTACACAAGTACAGAATGAGCACTAACTGACTAGGCAACCATTCTGGAGAATAAAAAGAAGTCATTGATTACATTGTACCATAAACTGGACATGGTCAAAAACATCACGCTGTTATGAAAAAGGCAAACATCACATTATATGAAATGGTAGTTCTGCTCTTGGCCGTTGGTAAGTCTATCCTGGACATCTTGATTGAGTGAATTTGAGGGTGAATTGGGAGAAAATTCAGAGCAGTGTTAAAAAACCCCACCAGAAATACAAAAAACATGGTTTATGTGGGAAGACTGAAATACTTAAGCCTATGAGAAATGAACTTGAGGAGAGAGAAAGCTGTAAAGGCTGCTATAAAATAGGAGGATGCTAATCAGATCACAGTGTTGTTGTTAGGCAGAATAAGAAATCATAAGCATAAATTTGCTAACCAAAAAAGACAGCTAAGTACTG